CCTTTAAGAGTGAGGTTGGTGACATTAACTACTTCTTCTACCGGGTCAAATGAGGGATATTCCTGATCAGCTATCACTATAACTGCATGTGCAAAAAAAGTTGAGTAATGTCGCCACTGCCCTTCTGTCTACTATCGTGATTATGGGCCGAGCCGAGCCGGGTTAGGTTCGGGTCCGGTTCGGCCTGGGGTTCCGGGTCTGTAATATAAAGCCTTAGCCCAGGTCTACACGGGCTTGAGTCGGGCCGAACCTGATTCCGGGCTAATATCTTTTATATATAAAACATTATATATCCATAATATTTTATATTAAATGATATAATATGCATATAAATTTTTATTTTATATATAAATTATATATATCATGTTATAATATTTATATATAAAATATAGAATAACATGTATATATATATATATATATATATACATATATATTATACACAAAATGTGTAAATTTAAATATATGCGAATTAGGCCTAATGTGGGCCCGGGCCTGAACACAAGATCCAGGCCCAGGCATGAAATTTCCAGGCCGAGTCGGGCTGAAATGATCACCCCTATCCGCCACCATTATTTCTTTTCCTTTATTATCCTTTGCAACCATCTGGTGTAGAGGACTGTTGTTTTGAATGGGACGACAAGGTGATACAAACAGTTCAGGGCTTCGAGGTTTAAACAGGGACTTAACTGTTGGGCGGGGTGCGTAGGGAGGGTTTGTAAGCTATTGTGAGGACTAAGAGTCTTTGTAACAGGGGAAAGACAGGCTCAGGCCGACGGGAAGAGACAGGCTCAGGCCGATGGGAAGAGATAGGCTCAGGCTGATGGGAAGCCATTGAACAAGCTATTGGACTCTAGGTACTTTGCACTTTGGGGGTAAGGACACTTAAAAGGTTAAAGGGTTTTGACCAGTCAAAACCCACCCATAAATTTTGATAAATAACACTTGATTGGCTATCACATTTATGATACCAGTTGATTGGTCAAAATATTTTCAGATATCATATCTTTTTCATATCATAGTTGAACCCTTTTTCAAATGGGAAAATTTGTGATGCGGGGAAGATATGGTATGGGAAGAGTTTTGACCAATCAAAATCCATCCATGAATTTTGATAAATAACACTTGATTGGCTATCACATTTATGATACTAGTTGATTGGTCAAAATATTTTCAGATATCATATCTTAAACATATCATAGTCAAACCCTTTCATAATATAAACTCAACTCTAAACGTCGGCATTCTATCGGTTATCTTGCACTAAACATTTTAAAATCCTAAAATTACCCCTCCTTTACCATTTTAGTTCTGTGTTGAAGCAACACAATGATTTGTGCATCAACCTTCATTTTCATTTTCTTTCTTAGTGTTGAACAAACTGTGCACAATGGTTGTGTAGTTATATCCCCTTTTCTAGCAACAAACAATTAGTAGTGCAAATGGACTGGGTCATGATCTGATTCAAACCAGAATTCAAATCCAATTCTATTTTATCGGATTTACCCCCACCTAGATTTTCGAATTGGATCAAATATTCGGATCCAATTAAAAATTAAATCGTATTTGGATCACCCTTATCCGATTTGGAAGAATCCGATATATATCTTATTTATTTATAAATATGTCTATATTGTATTTTTAGAATTTTTTATATTATTTATTTTTTATAAAAAGACATATATATATGATAAAAATAGTTGAAAAAAATATTGTATTTTTTGTTTTTCTTTATATAGACTGATATGTTTTCTTCTTTTTAATACTTTATTAAATTTTAAAGAAATTAAATTGGATTAGATCATATTCGAATTCAAATCAACCTTTTTGAGATCCGATTAGATATTCAAATCAGATTGGATATGAGATTTATATTATTAGATCCGATTCAGATATACCGACTCAAATATAGTCCAATTCATTTGCATCCATCCAAACAATGAAGTATTCTCTCTTTTATCCGTGTCTCTATTTCTATAAAGAGAGCATGAGAAATGGGAGACTTGTTTGAAACTAACAAATAATAAATGCAACCTCCACTCCCAAGTTCAGAATTCTTAGAGATTATTAAATTTTAGAGTTGTGTTTCCGATCTCAGTACAACCACTATGCCCTCCTAAATTGGCTCTATAATCTGTTTATTTTTTTCCAAAGTTATAGTCATGGTTTTTGAACCGTCATTGACTGGGACGGTCAGGCCATTCAGCCCGAAAATCGTTCAGGCAACCAGTTTCGTTTGACCCCAAACCCGATTTTTGGCCAACAACTGTTGAAAAAGTCAATGACCCATTGGCTCTGACAGTCGAACCATTGACCCACTCAATGATTTTTGGTCATTTTTTATTTTTAATTATTTTTATTTTTTATCAGAATAGACCATCCATTCGAACTGAATGATCGGACTGTCAACCCGAAAACCAGTGGCCAGAATAATTTCATTTCTGGGTAATTTTTTAAAACCATAGTTATAGCATTGATCTTGAATAAATTCATAGATGGTGGGTGCTTTAATTTTACCACACATTTAACATTTGTTAACGGTGCTGGATTTGAGTGTATAGATGCACTTGAAAGTTCAGTGTGCTAAAGTGTTGCAGTTAAAATGTTGGGAGAAGTACCGATCAGCCCAGCTCAGAGTTTACTAGCCACGAAGTACAGGGGGAATGCATCCTGACCGTAAATTGATGCCAAATTCACGGACAGGATGTGGTTTATAGGGGAAGAGGGCTAGTTGTAGGGGGTGACTGGAATTCAGAATTCTGCATCGTGTGTATTCATACTTTTCCCTAAAATGTTTAGGTCCTTAAAGCATCACCCCCCCCCCCAAAGTACAGTGTGTAATTTACACAATAATTAACCCCTTGCATCCTTCCACAGTTTTCATGTAATGCATAGATGCAAAGAGCTAATTAATGAGGTAACAACTTTACATAGTACTACTATACTACTACTAATTCAGATTAGCCGAACCAATGGCTGTGTAGAGCTGTTGAACCACTGATAATGTCCCACACCTGTGATGGAATATATAAAATACATGAGCCCACAATAAGAGATTGAATGATTAACTGGAATTTACACTCAGCCAAATTGCATTTCTATAAATTTACACCAGTTCAAATGAAATATACACTGTAAAAGTGTAAATAAATTGAGCCTATGGCTCAGTTTGAAAAGAGTACAAATACAAATATGCACAGTACAAATGCATACAAAATGTAAGGTTTTACACTCTACATATTTGCATTTGTACTCCTTCCAAACTGAGCCTAAAGATTGGACCAATTTGCAACTCTCTCAATGTCAACTTTCTACCATCACCCAAGGATTACTTGTCACACTTCAACCACGACAAAGTAGGGTCATTGGAAGTTCTTTTGGGGACTCATTGCAACCTTCGTGGCATGACAAAGTGATTTTACTTTATCCACACAAGGTAATATGTGTATGAAGTATACTTATATAAATGAGAAAACCAGATGTGTATGCGATTCAGCAATTACATCAAAATCTAACAAATTTCATATGGAATAATGGAAGCAATCAATTTTAAACCAATTCATCCTTGAATTGGTTCATATTGAAAGGGATGGAGGAAGAGGATTTCAAATTCATGTATATTCACGGGAGTGGGAAATTTATCTAAACATCCATATGGAAATAATCAAACGTAAACCAGTTCAGCCTACGACCATCCCAAAAATTCTAGCCTATTTGACGTTGGATGTTAAAAACAAATGGTTCCAGCTTTAGGCGTTTAGCATGGATTCAGTCTCTTCGCCATTATGGGCTCATGGTATTTCAGTCCTAATTGGTAGTTTTTTTCCCAAACTTTACTCCAGGTGGAGGGAAAGCCACCTTAAATTTTATGAATGAAACTAAAGGAAGATCCAAAAGTACAGGGGAGGACATAGCCCACCTTGCCCCAAACCAAAACAAAAAACAAAAAATCATCGTCAAATAAAAAAACTTAAAACACTAGTCAACACAAAGCATTGGGAGGTTAATAAAATCCTCTTAAATCAACCTAGAGAAAGCCAGAGGAAGCTGACAATCATCAGAAAAGAGAGAATGACTCTTCATGACTTCATCAATGCCTTTGCCTAAAAATCAGAACACAGGTTACCCTTAATGTATGTGGAAAATTAACATCCATTCTATCAACAAAGAATTTGATTATGTTAACAGTGTAAGAAATGACCAAGGATGAGGAATCATACCTTTCATTATATTAATTAGAACTTCATTATCACCTTCCACCTCAAAATGTATGTCATTGTAAAAACAAATTTGAATTCCATCGAGTCCTTAATGGTAGCTTGGTACCATTACTACAGAATGATCCTGAAACCTTGACTCCTCGAGATGAATTGCTAAAGCCTAATCAACCAAATTCGCCCCCAGAGGTTTTTGGTTCCGAGCCTGAATATGCCTGGATTTCAGGAGGCATTGAATGTACCCAGCCAAAGCCAACCAGAAGAATGCGATGGCATTGTCAGGAACAAATATGCCCAGCTATAGCCACGACCCAAGCAACCAGCCGGTCCAGCCGGAATGCAACATATTGCCACCGCAACGTCAAAACTAATCAAAAAGCTCAGGAGTCGGGACAAACTCCAAATCTCCAATCTAGAAACAATTGGTGGGGTAGCCCGGGTGGGTACAGTTGGGACAAAAATAAACGGATTCTCATATTATATTCATAAATATAAGGCTCAGTTTGGAAGGAGTACAAATACAAATATGTAGACTACAGTGCAAATTTACAATTACATACAAAATATACAAAATGTAAGGTTTTGCACTGTACATATTTGTATTTGTAGTTTTGTACTCCTTCCAAACTGGGCGGTCCGAGCCTAAAGGACACCATCATATGAACCAGCAGAGAGGCAGCTTGGATGCTTCTAATGCTAATCGGGGGGAAATTCTTGAATATTGTTTTTCTGTTGTTATATGTAACCTGATTGATCGCAATGGTAAGTTGAGGAGCTAGAGCCGTGGAGGCAAGAAAAAGGCCACTGGCCACAATCCCCTTTTGGATATTGCTACCAAGATAAAGCCAAAGCAGCTTGAAAAATGTAACAATTAACCAAAATGCAAAATTACCAGGAAAAAATGGAATCCCACTTGAAGCTGATTTACATCTTAAAGAATAAGAAAAAAAAAATGAAAAAACTATAGTCTGCTAATGTTGAGGTAGAACTGGTCTCTTTTCTAACAAATCGTAGTAGAGGACAAAGTTATCCTGCAACCAAAAGACATCGAAGACTTAGATAATTGCTTCTAGTTCTGAATATTCAAAATATAGAAACCAACATGCAGGTGTGTGCAAACCTTGCGAACTGTTTCCCATGTGTTTGGATCAAAACAAAGATAAGATCCCCTTTCATATGCATTCGTCTTAACCAAAGGCTCCATGTTTGCAACCCTTATGAACCATAGTCGGAGCTCTCTGTGATAGAACCACCCTCTTGTGTACCTACAAAGCAAACGCGTAAAGTGCTGCTCTTAGTAACTGCAACTTAATGAAAATATGAAAAAAGGAAAATTTCTCATTATAACAAGCACAAAGGGGACTCCTCACTTCAATGGCATAAATAGCTACTGAAGTAACCAATACAACCCCTCTTTATGAATCGATATAAGAATACTAGGAATACAATGTGAAAAGGAGCCTTCATACAGGAATGATTTGGAGAAAGAGGTCAATGACAGAACACAGAGAAACCAAATAGACCTCAAAGAACATACAATTCATTTGCAGCATACAGTTGGGCTTCATCTTTTGGCATGCTGCAATGACAACAGGAAAGGATAAAAAAAACATCACTTATTGAGTCATGGAGAAAGCACTAAAGACATCAGAAAAAATAGAGGTCTAGAGAGAGAGAGAGAACACCTGTAAAAGATGTAAAACAATGTCTCTGGCTGGAATTTTGCAAAATACCCTTGCTGCAACCACACCATAACAAAGGTCAGAAAGTTTTTCATTTTTTTCATCCGATCATGTACACATGGGGAGGATTTGAAGCACACTAATATTTAACAATCAAAACAGCTCACATGCAACGCAGGTGGTGGTTCAGCATGGTAACACTCTGGAACAGTGTATTCAGGTTGTATCTTGGCAGGCTCATCAGACCAGGGAGAGGCAAACCTTTTGTGGATGTCATTTGTTGAACTCAAATTTAGCCCTAATGTCGTAAGATCAGTTCCTAGAGCAAGGGAAGTCAAATCAGGATTGTTCATCCTTATGACACTCAATAAACCAAGTAATCCAAATCGATCAGTCGCTGCCTGCATTGACTTCACATTTTGATCTCTATATGACTGACCCACAGCTGAAAATTGTTGCAATCGAAATTGGGACTGACTTTGAAGCTGTTGATACTGTTGAATAAGCTGATCGTATGACCCTACACCTGAAACTGAATTTGGAGAATTCATAGGTCTTCCTCCAATATTTGGTGGGCCACTATTCTGAACCTATGGCAAGAAAAACAAATTTACAAACAAAACAGACAACTTTTATGGGGTTTATCTCCACAGATGTGAGAATATATGATATAAATCAAAGACTGAACCTGTGAGTGATAATTTGCATGGGAAGGTGGAAACAGATCAGAACCATGTAAATGCAAAAGATCTTGATTGGTTGCTGATACAGCATTTTGTTGGCGATGAGATGAAAACGTCCCTCCTAAGCTGAACCCAGGGGATCTCCCCATCTGTATAATTTAAGAAAAGCATGTAAGGATGGACTTGGAAAAAGTAGGGAACAGATCAATTCCAATATACAAGGAACCTCAATTTTCCACATAAAAACAGGACTCACAGAGAAGTGCTGTGAATGCATCATAGACATGGCATTGTCATGAAGTTGTTCTTTCTGGTGCAGATCCATTCCATAATCATTATTCCCACCTTCACAACAATTCAGACTATTCAATAACAATGAAAAGTACTTACCCCATAGGAAAGATAGACGTGTCTTCCAAATGTGATTGAGATACAAATAAGTTGTATCAAGAGTTAAGGGATAACTAAAAAGTAAAAAAAAAAAAAAATGAAAGAACAAAATGGTAGTACAGAAGATCCTAATATACATCAACATACCATCATATGCACATAATCTACAAATGTGATCCACAGCAACAAATGTGTCGGGGCAAATTAGCAGCGACAACAGACACATTCAGTAGTCAAAAGGTTTTTTTTGTTACGATTTATAAAACATTGTTCTGTCCCAAGTGCACATTCCTACTGTAAAAATGAAAGAAAAAACAAAGCATGGACTTTTTTTGTTATAATTTAGAAAACATTGCTCTATGTCCCAAGTGCTGATTCCTATAGCAAAAATGAAAGAAAAAAAAATCATGGACTTTTTTTCAAAATGTTGAGAAAGGGAAAGACTAAAGCAGCATTTATCGTCACTCGCTTCTATGTCATGCCACCTGTCTTGGTGGTTCATGGTTGTAGTGTCAACATAGAACTGTGGATTCACCTATAGATGCTAGCTACAAAAGTGGCATGTGTCCTCATGCCCATAGAAAATGGGCTAATTTGGCCATGCAGATGCTGAGTAAGAAGCTCTATCATGCTAAAGGTGTAAAGAATATGCATGTGCAGTCAAAAAACATCTAGCAGATTTACATAAGGAACAGAGCCAAAACTTGATATCTCTTGTACCCTTTTCAAATGATTCCAAGAAACCTGAAAAAATAACAGGAAAAAAATACAGATTGAAAATGCAATGCCTATATGCAACTTATTGATGCTCTTAGTCACCATAGTGTTTATGGATATCCCTCTTTCCATCTGTCCCTCCCTCCCTCTATCTGTTATTGGAGTATCCTGCTATAGCCAATCATAGACAAAATTCACCCGGCTAAGACCAGTTTGAAAAAAAAAAAAAAGAAAAGAATAACACCCATCAACCCATTCACCCAAAAGGCTATTTCAGAAAAATTGGTCCACAACACAACTCTCTCCTCTCAATACCACCCCTACCCAAGCTGTATGACAAGGAGTTAGCTAATCTCAGGATCCATCCAAATGAGGAGTCTACTCTAGAAGCCAAAGCCTGCCTACCTGATGTGGTATAGCAGGTTTTAGGGATCCTCAGTCACCCTTCTCAACCACCCAATAACAATCTGTGTCACCCTCCAACTCCACTCAAGAAAGCTCTAGAGTTGGTTGGCATCAATCTCGACCCTGAGGGAGTGCCAGAATCTCTTCCTTGCAAAGCCAGCTGCTAACTACTAAATATCTGCCCTGATTCTCCTGAGCCGATGGGGTCGAAATACACCACAATTATCTCACCCTCCTCATCTTGGAAATCACAACCTATTCATGAGGGACTTAGGTTCTCTATCAAGTGGCCATTAAGTCTCAGCTTGATCATCCTCCACCCCAAGTGGGACCTCATCCCTATGGTCACAATCATGCAAGATTCATCAAACTCATAATGTATATTCTCTGCATGCCTCTCAATCCTCTCAATTAGTTTTTGTTCTTTTGAAACTAGTGCATTATCCAACCATAGCAAAAGTGCACTATTGTTCCTTCAAGGAAGCAGGTTTATTATCATCAAATGGACATCTGTTAGATTATTACCCCTTCATGTGCACTTAATATGCCTACTCAACAACAATATCATATTCCGACGATATCAATTAGTTTTTGTTCTTTTGAAACTAGTGCATTATCTAACCATAGCAAAAGTGCACTATTGTTCATTCAAGGAAGCAGATTTATTATCATCAAATGGACATCTGTTAGATAATTACCCCTTCATGTGCACTTAGCACTCAACAACGATATCATATTCCAAATATGAAGGTAAAATGCCTAAGGTACTAGCCCATAAATGCGATATAATTTTGTGGCAAAAGCGCATTCTGAAAGTAATAAACACCTATGGATACAGGTGTCAATTGGACTGGATTTGGTCCAACCCAATCCACTCCAATGTGAGTCCACTTACAAATGGACTAGACCCAACCCAGTCCAAATCCAATACAAACCAAATCCAATCCAATCCATTAAAATGTAAATGGGCTGGATTGGATCCAATCCAAACTAAACGAAATATCAACAATTATAAAAAAAAAAACAGGACATAAAAATTACAAAAATATATCATTTTGGCATTGAAAAAGCACTTTTGTAAAAGTGCTTTCGTACAAGTACTTTGATAAAAGTACTTTCATAAAAATGCTTTTATAAAAGTGCTTTCGTAAAAGTGCTTTTATAAAAGTGCTTTCGTAAAAGTTCTTTCATAAAAGTGCTTTTATAAAAGTACTTCCATAAAAGTGTTTTCGTAGAAGTGCTTTTATAAAAGTACTTCTGTAAAAGTGCTTTTGTAAAAGTGATTTCATAAAAGTGCTTTCGTGTAAAAGTACTTTTATAAAAGTGCTTTCATAAAAGTACTTTTCATAAAATTATTTTTATAAAAGTGCTTTTGTAAAAGTACGTTCATAAAAGTGAATTTATGCTGGCTTCAGTTTTGATCGGTTTCAAATTGGACAAGAATTTGACCTCATGATCGGATTATTGGAAATTTGGTTTAGGTCCAATTCAGACCAATAAGAATATGGACCAATTTATTTTGGACTGGCCCAATCCAATAATTATAATGGACCGTCCAAATCCGATTTGATAAGGTTTGAATCGGATTGGATCCAATCCAAAACCAATCGATTGACACCCCTACCTAGATCCAAAAAACAACATCTTTTCACTCTAGATCCAAAAAAAAATACAATAAGCACCTTTTAATCCAGGTAGAGCTGGAAAATCTTCATTTTGAATGCTAAATTCTTGGTTCTGTTGGACAACACCAAGGCTTTGCTTCCGCAGTGAACCTGCAAGTAAGTTCTGACATTCAGTTGTAGGAGAAGAAACTCCAGACAAGCATCCCATAATAAATAAATAAATAATTTATTTTTTGATCAATAAAAATTTAACTTATTAACTACCTAATTGTCCTTGAGGACCTCCAGCAGAACTAGGACGGCCAGTCAACTGAGGGAAATCATTGATGTCAAAAGGAGAATTCTCATTGGAGCCAACATCATTTAGTATTCCCATAGATCTTAACTGATTATTCCCTGCTTGCAGTTGGTTTTGGGGCAGTGTACCTCCAGCAGCAGAATAAGAACTTCCTAGCATAGATATCACCTGTGGTGCTGAATTCAGTACATGTCATTTATTATAGCAGATAAATACTGCACACATAATAGATCAGCATAATAACCACCAAATCATGCACAGAATCAGAGTTTAATCATCTAATAAAATACATTACAAATTAGTTTACCAACAAACATTATGAAAGATAGAAAACATAAAAGAATATTTGAATAGAAGAACTAAAAGAATAGCAAGCTTAGTGACTAAAACACAAAGGAATGATACATTCAGGAATTGGAAGCTAAATATCCAGTTCACTAACAAAGGTTTCAAAGCTAGTACAACACACTAAAAATGAGAGAAGAAAGTTTCAAGAAAACAAGTCTTGCAGGGAGCAGGTTTAAGTAACATAAAGGCCAGCTATGTCATATTGACCAAATCATCTGATCCTCACATAACGTCAAGAAGCTTGGATCATGAAAGCATATCATATCAATACCAATATAAACCACATAGTAGGTTTCAGATTTGCTTAAATTTTAGTAGCAACAAAAGTACAAAACTATCATGTATTTCCCCTTTATGGTGACCAATTGGACTGCAACCCAGATTTAGAATTCCTTGCTAAAGAAAACCCTTTCTAGGGTAAGAAAGTGACTGCTGTATAGACAGTTGCATCAAAACTGCAATACCAGTTGCTTCAGATACAAAAATCAGAAAAAGAGATGGAAAGCCGGCATTTTGTCCAATAACATCAAGAAAGATGTTCATACCTGATGAACATCAAGAAAGAGGGCAGCAAAGAAGATATAGATTTCCAAGGAGAAGCTAACATAGCTCTTGCATTCAGACCTGCGTCCCAGTCATTAGGATGAGCACCATGAACACTTTTCGTGACCCAGTGCCATAATCTATCCGAGTCAATACGGAACCTCCACATCCACTTGCCTAGCAGGGAAAAATCACTAGTAACCAACCTTCCTAGNGGAACCTCCACATCCACTTGCCTAGCAGGGAAAAATCACTAGTAACCAACCTTCCTAGACCTAAGCCCCCTTCTTTCCTACTTCTTCAAACCAGCTTCCAGTTTACCAAATGGTCCTTACGGTTTTCCAATTTGAACTTCTTTTTCACCCAGTGCCATAACCTATCGAGCCAATACGGAACCTCCACATCCACTTGCCTAGCAGGGAAAAATCACTAGTAAGCAACCTTCCTAGACCTAAGCCCCCTTCTTTCCTACTTCTKCAAACCAGCTTCCAGTTTACCAAATGGTCCTTACAGTTTTCCAATTTGAACTTCTTTTTTCACCCAGTGCCATAACCTATCGAGCCAATATGGAACCTCCACATCCACTTGCCTAGCAGGGAAAAATCACTAGTAACCAACCTAAGCCCCCTTCTTTCCTACTTCTTCAAACCAGCTTCCAGTTTACCAAATGGTCCTTACAGTTTTCCAATTTGAACTTCTTTTTTCACCCAGTGCCATAACCTATCGAGCCAATATGGAACCTCCACATCCACTTGCCTAGCAGGGAAAAATCACTAGTAACCAACCTTCCTAGGCCTAAGCCCCCTTCTTTCCTACTTCTTCAAACCAGCTTCCAGTTTACCAAATGGTCCTTACAGTTTTCCAATTTGAACTTCTTTTTTCACCCAGTGCCATAACCTATCGAGCCAATATGGAACCTCCACATCCACTTGCCTAGCAGGGAAAAATCACTAGTAACCAACCTTCCTAGGCCTAAGCCCCCTTCTTTCCTACTTCTKCAAACCAGCTTCCAGTTTACCAAATGGTCCTTACAGTTTTCCAATTTGAACTTCTTTTTTCACCCACCACTTCTATGTCCTTGATTTTATACACTTCAGAAACTTCATCCAAATAGATTTCTTGTACAAGCTCCTCTTTAATACCTTTCTTCCCTAACTTCCATTATCATCATCATCATCTAAAACTCCAGAGTCTTCAAGAACAGTAGAGTTCTATGGAAATGGTTACCATCCTCTGTCGTCTCATCACAAAAAGTGAGACACCCCAATCCTTGTTTGAGCCCAGTGCAACCAACATCCCCTGTCTCAAATTTTATTTCTTAGAAATTGTTCACAACCACTGGATTATCAACAGCTCAGATGTCCAAATGTGCTTCCATATAAAAATTTACCTTGAACTATCTTCAGCCCAGTGAGAACCAACATCCCCACCTCAAATCTTATTTCACTAAAATTCTTCACACAATGGATTATTAACAGCTCAGACATACAAATGTGATCCATACAAAGATTTACTTTGAACTACCTTCAGCCAATAAGACAATATAGTCTCCATCCTTTTTATCATCATCATCTAAGCCTTGCCCCATCTATATGGGGTCAGCTACACCGTTTTGCCATTCCATTCTCTTCAGTGCCATGTCCATTGTTAAATTATTGATGCATCATCGATCCTATTCTTTATAAAATTTCTAAAATTTTCTGCAAGGTCTTGCACCACAAAACCCACTCTTCAATCTAGAGAACACCTTGGAAATGTAAACCAAACAACAATATTTTGAACCCCCTCCTATCAGTCTATTGATGCCACATTTCCATCTTTCATTTCAAGATACTAGTGGGGGTGCACGTGCATTGCACGTGTATGTTTCAGTTGCCAAAATTAGGGTGTTCACGGTCCAGTTCAGTGCGATTTAGAGAAAATCTCAGACCAAACTGGTAAATTACGGTTTGAGAATTTTCTAAATCGAACCAAACCGTTTTATTACAGTTTGGTGCGGTTTCTAATACGGTTTGGGGACTTTGGACCATTCTATGTTATTTTGGGCTTAACCCAATTAGAAAGCCCAAATAGCTCCCCTAAAAAGTAAAACTTAAAAACTTCTATTTATTATTTTATTATAAAATAAAGCGTTCATTATATATTTATAATTTTACGTATTCCATTTAGATATATTGTATATAATATTTATATATCACATATTCATATTATACACATATATATATAATTTCGGTTGACAGTTTACGGTTTGGTTCAGTTTATAAAATTAAATAAACCAAACCAAAACTGTAAATCGTAATTTAGAAAATTCTCAAACTGAACCAAACCATTTATAGGTACAAGCCAAACCAAACCAAACCGCAAACTCGGTTTGGTTCGGTTCAGTTTTGCGATTTGAACCGTATAACGAACACCCCTAGCTAGTCAAAATAACATATTTGAATTGAAGTGATTTAAAAAAAAAAAAAGAATTGATTTTCAAATACCAAAAAAATAATACACAAAAGCAACCCGACAACAATAATAATGACTAAATCACTATGAATTTATAATCCAACTTTAGCGTTATAATCATTATTTGAACAATAATCAATCAAAGCTACTAAGCTAGCAAGTGAACATAACGAAAATGACTCAGCAGCACCACCTAACAATTGAGCATGAAAAAATAACACAAATTGAAAATGTAAGTTCAAATATTTTCGATCATTCTCTAATTTAAACTCCTCTTCATTACAAAAAAAAAAAAAAAAATTAAACTCCTCTTCTTGTTTTCTTGTTTGATCTAATTTAATAGCATGTTCCTTCCATCCGAAAGCATTCCTTATAGACTAGCCCAAAACTACCATGTCAAAACAGAAATAGTAGTCTTCCCAAAGCTGTTTAAAAGTGAAGAGTCGAACCACTATCTCAGTTGCAAGTTATAGGGTTGTATAATCACCTTTCTCTTCATATAAACTGCTATACACCCAAAACAAATTAACCAAAAAAATCAGCATAAAAGAGAAACCAAAAGAGAGTGCAAGTTAAATCAAAATTTAGAATTTTAGACAAAATAAAAAAATAATAATAATAAACTAACTACTTTGTTGAGTGAACTCTTATTTTGGATTCTAAATTGATTGTGTAAAACGAAATAGCATTCAAATCCTATAACATACTACACCCCTATTTAGGTTCAAATTTGGAGGATTTTTATAAATATGATCACATTTTTATAAAAATGGGGAGATACATCCATTCAACTTATCAATTAAGTTTATCCTTGAAGGAGAAATTTTGAACTTATCTTGATGATTTGATTCCATTTAATATCATGAAAACAATCCAGAGTAATGTGAGAGTTGTTCAGCCCAAGGTTTTTAAAACTGACCTGAACAACGAACCGGTCATGGGTCCGATTCCCGGGTCGAACGGTCCGACCATTTGAAACGATCGAGCAACCCATTCTGATAAAAAAATAAAAACCGGCCAAACCGTTGAACGGTTCGAACGGTTCAACCACCCGGGTCAGCAGTTTGCTGACCAAATCTATAGTTTTGGGAGAAATAACGGTTCTAGGGTAAAACAGAACCAGTCACTTGACTGATACCTGTTTTTTCCAGTCCAGTAACCATGGTTCAGCCACATTGATATTTGATAAAAATTTAACCAACATTATGACTACCTTAATAGGGTAACCATTACGTGGAGAATTTGGATGTCCATGTATTCATCTTTTTAGGGCTATAATAATTTTGTATTATTAATAGGGGTAAATTTGGAAATAAAAATCAGGATGTTCAAGGAAGAGCCATTAATCATTCTCATTTTTAATAGTGGTAATACATTCATAGGTCACCTCTAAAATCCCTGCATTGCTATGCTCCAATATGAATTCCTTGTTTGCCCCCAAAATCCACCTCTATCCTGCCAACAAATAACTCAAAAACTTCCCAACATTTTGCTTTACAATTCTATAGGTTTTGGAAAATCTTCCTATTTTTAATGGATACAAGAAATTTTTCCTATCAATATTATGGATAACATATTGATGTACCTAAAGTCTTTAATCATTGAATCAACCTTCAAGCCTTTCCCCCAAGGACCTCAGGTACAGGAATTGGGATCTGCTCCTCACAGAGTGCACCTCACACCAACCTCACAGGCACATCCCACTGTGCATTGGGAACATCTCCCATGAATAATAACACATTAAGTATGGGAGATGTTCCTGATACATGGTGGAATGTGCCTGTGAGGTCAGTGTGAGGTGTGCTCTGTGAGGAGCAGACTCAGATTCCAG